AGTGTTGGGGCCCAACTCGACCGATCACCGCATCCCCTGAGCTCGTAATGTCGCTACGACGCCACTGGCTTCGCGTGATCCATCTCGGGCCTGCGACACTTCCAGCAGCCAAACTCTCGACAGGAGCGCTTGTCCATCGCGACAGCGGCAGCGATGGTGAATCAATCGCCAGGCACCTCCCAGGTTCCGCCCGCTCACGACGGAGGCGTGAGCGGCCATGGAGGCATCCCATTGGGCCGCGCAAATGGAGTCGGAGGTTGTTCGAGGAGCGAGGGCAGCATCGTTTTGAGCCGTTCCACGTCGATCTCTTTGTGGCGGAGGACAAAATACCGGCCCGCCGACGTTCTGCGCTTGGTGTCGCTGCAACGGAGCCGGGGAGAATGCCTTCGCGACGTTCGGGGACCAGGGGGCAGTGTCCGTGCTACTCCACCTAGGCGCTCGTGCCCGCGGTGGTGGCCAAAGCGAGGGGGGGGGGGGGTCAGGGCTTCGTACCTGCAGATCACTCGCCACCGGGAGACGATGCTGCTTCTCGGACGTTACAAACGTCTTGGAGGTTTTGGTATCTTCGGTTTCAGTCAAATATCGTGTGAATGTTGAGCGTCTTTTGCACCGTATGTAGCCAGCCGCGCTAATTGAAGATGTCGGGGGAAAGGCAACAAATTAAACAAAAAGCAGTTCGAAAGAAATTAGTTTCCAATCTACGCGATTTAAAGGTGCATAGCTCCAGTGGGCTTCCTAATATATGACAAGCATTCCAGACGGCCGCAGGAACACATCTGAAAGCACCGCGCGATGCGGTGGCCATCTTTGTTCGATGGTGAGCCACGAGCTGCTCCTTGGGAATGGATGATTTGGTAACGGCCACTGTAGTCTTGAGTTCCACTGGGTGGGTCGGCTGGTCTCATTTACATTCAAGGGAGGTGCCCTCATTCAAATGATCAGTCTATAATTTTAATGGTAGCTTTATTTGAACAGTGAGAGACAGAATAACAACAAAATAATCCAGAAAAACGCAAGTCAAAAATGTTATAAATTGATTTGCATTTTAATAAGGGCAATAAGTATTTGACCCCTCTGCAAAACATGACTTAGTACTTGGTGGCAAAACCCTTGTTGGCAATCACTGAGGTCAGACGTTTCTTGTAGTTGGCCACCAGGTTTGCACACATCTCAGGAGGGATTTTGTCCTACTCCTCTTTGCAGATCTTCTCCAAGTCATTAAGGTTTCGAGGCTGACGTTTGGCAACTCGAACCTTCAGCTCCCTCCACAGATTTTCTATGGGATTACGGTCTGGAGACTGGCGAGGCCACTCCAGGACCTTAATGTGCTTCTTCTTGAGCCACTCCTTTGTTGCCTTGGCCGTGTGTTTTGGGTCATTGTCATGCTGGAATACCCATCCACGACCCATTTTCAATGCCCTGGCTGAGGGAAGGAGGTTCTCACCCAAGATTTGACGGTACATGGTCCCGTCCATCGCCCCTTTGATGCGGTGAAGTTGTTCTGTCCCCTTAGCAGAAAAACACCCCCAAAGCATAATGTTTCCACCTCCATGTTTGACGGTGGAGATGGTGTTCTTGGGGTCATAGGCAGCATTCATCCTCCTCCTCCAAACACGGCGAGTTGAGTTGATGCCAAAGAGCTCCATTTTGGTCTCATCTGACCACAACACTTTCACCCAGTTGTCCTCTAAATCATTCAGATGTTCATTGGCAAACTTCAGACGGGCATGTATATGTGCTTTCTTGAGCAGGGGGACCTTGCGGGCGCTACAGGATTACAGTCCTTCACGGCATAGTGTGTTACCAATTGTTTTCTTGGTGACTATGGTCCCAGCTGCCTTGAGATCATTGACAAGATCCTCCCGTGTAGTTCTGGGCTGATTCCTCACCATTCTCATGATCATTGCAACTCCACGAGGTAAGATCTTGCATGGAGCCCCAGGCCGAGGGAGATTGACAGTTCTTTTGTGTTTCTTCCATTTGCGAATAATCGCACCAACTGTTGTCACCTTTTGATTTGAAGCTTTCGTGACTGCAGTAATTCATATTCTTAGCTCGTTCGGTAAAGTCACGTTGAAGGGAAACAATAAAATAATAAAATATATAAAACAATAAAAATTCTCACGACGTTTCGACCATGAAGAAGGACCCTCTTGAGGAGCCTTTCAAAACCATCACTTTACCCTACATTGCGGGGATCACAAAAAAGATCTCCAAAATCTTGAATAAACACAAGATCCAGGTCCGTTTCAACACATTACATAAAATCCGTGATCTGGTTCCATCTGTAAAAGATGTGATTCCGGACATACAGTACCCTGGTGTCTACAAACTAAGTTGCCTCTGTGGTAGCAGTTACATTGGAGAAACCAAACGCCATGTCTCGGACTGCATTCGTGAACACAAAGCAGACCTTAAACACGGTAGGACCAACACCTCGGCCGTGGCAGACCATTGTTATAATTCAGTAGGCTCACATGACATTGACTTTTCTAAGACAGAGGTTCTTTGTAAGCCATCTGGCTACCATGAGAAATTCGTTCATGAGGCTATCCACATATACAAGCACAGAGACAATTTCAACCGAGAAGATGGATTCTGGCTTAGCAATCATTGGAAGTGTTTGATAAACCATTTCAGGTCTTAATTGATTGTTCACGCTTAGGGTGGCTTTCAGACAGCATACATTAATTTTTCGTCTCCCCCCTCCTTTTTTCAGAACATAGATGGACTCGTCCTTCCAAATAAACTGCCAAATCGCTGCGCGTGGCGCTGACGTTTTTTTTTATAAATAAATACACCGTTAAAAAATAAATTAATTAATGCAAACCGACACTTCTTTGAAATGTTTCTTGCCGTTGGTTTTTTTTCACACCTGATGACGACCATTTGTGTTATGGTCGAAACGTCGTGAGAATTTGTATTGTTTTATATATTTTATTATTTTATTGTTTCCCTTCAACGTGACTTTACCGAAAGAGCTAGAATGTTGTCACCTTCTCACCAAGCTGCTTGACAATGTTCTTGTAGCCCATTCCAGCATGGTGTAGGTCTACAATCTTGTCCCTGACATCCTTGGAGAGCTCTTTGGTCTTGGCCATGGTGGAGAGTTTGGAATCTGATTGATTGATTGCTTCTGTGGACAGGTGTCTTTTATACAGATAACAATCTGAGATTAGGAGCACTCCCTTTAAGAGTGTGCTCCTAATCTCTGGGAGCCAGAAATCTTTCTGATTGAGAGGGGGTCAAATACTTATTTCCCTCATTAAAATTCAAATCAATTTATAACATTTTTGACATGCGTTTTTCTGGATTTTTTTGTTGTTATTCTGTCTCTCACTGTTCAAATAAAGCTACCATTAAAATTATAGACTGATCATTTCTTTGTCAGTGGGCAAACGTACAAAATCAGCAGGGGATCAAATACTTTTTTCCATCACTGTATGCCTGCAAAGCCTACAAATTATGTTGTATGGAGGGTGTGTAGGTATATATGCCTACAAAGCCTACAGATACCTCAGATTATGTTGTATTTCGGGTGTGTAGGTATATATGCTAACATACTACTGACTATTGTATGGTGTAGTGCCGTGAATTCACTCGGACGACAGCCGTCTCTTTTTCCGCCGTCACTTTTATTCCATCGTTCCGTACACACAGTAATTCTCTTCGCACTCCGCCAACTCGGACACTCCGATTTACTTCAGCATCGTCCGTGCATCCCCTTCCACACACAGTGTTTCTTCCTCTATCTCTTCACACACAGTATCGCCGCTATCTCTTCACACGCAGTGACTTCCCTTCCACACACAGTGGTTCTTCTATCTATTCACACACAGTATCCTGTCTGTCTATTCACACACAGTGACTCCATCTATCTATTCACACACAGTGACTCCATCTATCTATTCATACACAGTGACTCTATCTATCTCCGCTAACGCTAACTCTCCCTATCGCTATTTACTGTCTTTGGGGTTCGGCTCTCTATCTATTCTTCCCTAACATTGCCAGCTGTCCTCTTCGTATCTCTCCACCTCTCGCTAACAACTGCCCAGCAACAACTCTCTCTCCGTTCAAATCACCTCGCGTTTTATCCCCTTTCGCATTAGCCTTAATTAATTGCCACGTGGCTCGCTGGCCGTTTTCCGCCAGCTCGCACCTGTCCCCTCCATCAGACATCGAGACGCCACCACTTAACACTAACAGCCTCTCGACCAATCACAGCCCTCGTGCCACGACTCCCTTAATTACTTCGGGTTGTTTACGCCACCCATGACTCGACCACCTGTTCGACCTCATGTGACCCGTTCTCCTTGTCTGTCTGTATGTACTGTATATGGCCAATTCCTATGCGTATTGTTTACTCCACTACATATGTACAGATACTACTGACTCTATTGTATTCACTACTATGATGCTGTCATCTCTCTTTTAACAATAATTCACGAGCTTCGTGTGGTATTGTTTCACGCCATGTGATATCATGCGATGTGTTAACCGTTTAGTTATTACCTTTTGAGTCTCAGCATCTATTGTGGAGCACCAAGGAAAGATGTTCAGTGCGGAGTCTCTCCAATATTTGCAGTTTTGAGAAAAGTCCCCCATAGAGGTTAATCGATTCAACTCGTGCCGGGTCTTGACGATCAATATCTCCGATTCGTACGCGATTTTTGGGTCAGGTGGTGTAAGTAAAATGTTGCATCGTAAGCCCTCCTGCACCCGACACAGCCAATTAATAAAGTTGTCACGTGATGAACAAACATGGCCAATTGATTACTGCTTCGGCAGCACTACCACCCGTGTTGTTGGAGAGCGCCCAGCGCACTTTTACCAACTGAGTGCGGACCTCTCACCGGTAGCTACAGCCAGCATCATCAGGCAGCTGCCCGAAATTGGAAAATGTCTTCCAGTAAACTTAATGAATTGGCTGTGTCGGGTGGAGGAGGGTTTAACGACACACATTTCACTCACACAATGACCTAAACATCAACGTGGAATCACAACATTGGTCGCGATAGCTCGCGCGTTAGAGAGCGAGGAGGAGGAGGCGGGTTCGGGAGGGTGGGTAGGGGGCTCACGGAGGAGGCGAAGGGCTTCAGAGAAAACAGGCGCTTGGCGGTCCTTCTGATCTCGCCCGAGCGCAGTCCATAAATGATGGGATTGAGAACCGGGGGGGCCACGTAAAAGAGGCAGCTGAGCCCCGAGCGCACGTTGTCTGGGAGCACCACATACTTGTCGATGCGGTTGTACGTGATGACGAAGAGCAGCGGTGCGTAGAATACGGCTAGCGCAAGGATGTGCGAGACGCAGGTCCTCCTCGCCTTGACGTGCCCCCTGCTCGCCAGGAGGTCCCGGCGCTCCGACCTGAAGCCGCACTCGTACAGGATGCGCGCGTACGAGAACGCGACGACGGCCAACGACGTGCCCACGGTGACCACCGCCACGGCCACGCTGTACGCGTTGCTCGCGACGCCGTCACTGCAGGAGATGTTCACCAATGACATGACGTCGCAATAGGCCCCCGGCAGCACCTTGGGCTTGGCGCAGCCGTCGAACTTGAGGGCGAGCATCAGGCCCAGAATGACTGACACGATGGCGGTCGATGCTGTGGCCACAGCCGCCAAGACCGCGGCCGTCCGGGCGTTGGTCACCAGGGCCGGGTAGCGCAGCGGGTGGCAGATGGCGGCGTAGCGATCGAGGGCCATGGCGGACAAGATATAGCAGTCGAGCGCGCGGTACAAGTGGACGGCCAGCATCTGCGCCACGCAATCGGCGAGCGTGATGCGGTTGCTCGCTGCGAGGTCGGTCATGATCCGGGGCAGCGTGGCGGTGCTGCCCGCGATGTCGCTGAGGGCCAGGCCGGCGAGCAGGATGTACATGGGCCTGTGGAGCCGCTTCTCGCGGCTAATGACGAGACAGAGGAGGACGTTGCCCCCCAGCACCACGATGTAGATGAGGAGGACGACGGCGAAGACCAGCGGCCTGGTGTTCGGCGGGTTTCTCAGAAGTCCCGTGATGGTGATAAGGTTCGAATCATCGTGAGAAACGAGGTTGGAGATGTTGGGGGCGGCCATGAGAGGCCACGTGCCGACACGAGCGTCTGCATCTGGCGATGAAGAAGAGAAGACGACACTGTTCACACCCGATCGTTACGGCTTGGTCATTTATGCAAGGTGTCTTTGATCACACTCGTCGTTGGTTATTCCGCCGGCATGCAAATGTAGCGAAAGTAATAATAATGTTGGGTTGTATGAAGAGCATCGCCATCGGCGTTCATGCAAAACTGCATCTCGCAATCGCTGAGGAGCCACAGACAAGCGGAAAGGCAGTGGCCAGCCGATGAGCCGGCGCTACCGACAATTTCCCAAGCTCTGCGGTCCTCTCTATGTGTTAAGATGGCCTCAGCCACGCAATGGGTGTTTGCACAGGTAATTAAAACAATGAGGTAGCAGCAGCTGTAGTTTCCTGGAACATTGTTGAATGAAGTGGCGACATACGCATAAAAAGTTAACTTTTTTTGTTCAACCAATAATTTAACTGTCTGGTCAACTTGCAGGCTGACATACAGAAGACAACAACTTTTAGACCCATTGTTAGACACCACTAGGTGTTCAGAGACATTGATATAGATAAACACGCAGACACAGCAAGCTAAAGGCGAGACACACAGCAATGGCACTGAGACACCAACCAATATTAGTCGGAGTCAGCCACAGACATGCACGCTACTCACACTCCAAACACAAAGACAAAAATCTCCCGTATAGCCTGGACATACTATTGGAGTAAGTGCTGTTCGCGAGCACCCTATGAAGGCCGGCACGGCACAGGGGGTGGATGGCCAACACCACCCCCGGCCGCCTTTGCCTCCCCAGTGGTGATGTTTACACACCATACCAGGTACTCATTTAAAGGCTGAGTCGACTTAGGGGAGGCCCATGGCCAGGTTCAGATGATTATAATCATCGCTGGTGTTTGCCGTGAGTGGAATTGAACTCGGGTCGCCGGGTTCGTAGCGCAGCGCGCTAACCGCTGCACTGACGTACATCACATATACACCACATGTACACACACACACAGACCAGAGATGTACGCAGAGAGTAGAGAGACGCACAGAGGAGAGAGAACAGCGGAGAGGGAGGCACGCGGTGAGCTGGTGCAGCTGGGGCTGTTTACTAGTGCAGGGACTTGACTCTGATGAGGTCGGGGCCGCTGGGAGCCGGGCGAGTTGTGAGGCCACCACCACCACCATCATCTCTGCTGCGCCGCCTCCCACACAAACACTCACGGCGCTACGTCGCCAGCGGAGTTGGGACACGTTTCTGGATTTGCAGCGTTCTTGGGGGACGTTCGATCAGCACTGCACGTCCCTCGCCATTGCTTGAAGTCACGGCGCAAGCCCCTTTTGGACCCCACGAGCTTTGACGCTCAATCAATGCGAGTTCAGCCCCAGATGAGGCCTGGAGAGTTGAATGGAGTTCTAAAGAACTCACAAACACCACCTTGTGAAAGACCCCGACGCAGAAGATCCCTGGGGTTTCATCTTCCACGAAGCTCGTGGTCCACCCGAAACCGCATCCGCTGTACAAACCATGGCAGCAGTCGATGGGAAATTAAAAACTATCCAGTAGCAGTGTGTGACTGTGGTCATCCAAAACAGACCCAACAGCGTGTAACGACGCAATGCCCCGATCCACAAATACGAAGGGAGAAATCACAGCGATGATGACACACGACTCCGCTACTCCTGACGCGGTTTTCTGGCTGACCACCTGAATGTGAAATCGCAGCCGTTGCTCCGAATCTACATCCGCCACGCGAAAGATGAAGAAGCAGCATTTCACGCGGCTTCCGCCTTACGCACCGCGAGGTTGTGATTATTTTATAGAGGGCATGGTACCCAGAGCCACCCCTCTCGAACCCCCCCCCCCCACCTGCCCTTCCCGCACCCCCCAGTTCGGGGTGGAGTCCCCCCCCCCACTCTCCCCTCCCACACTCCCCCCACTCGACATTCACCGACGCGCGCACGCGAGGCTGCTGGTGGGCAGAGCCACGTGGCCGCTACTCGGCCTTTTTGCACGCGACGATCCTCGTCGTCGGTGGAGCAGCGTTGAGCGCGCGCGGTGCCGGAAGAGCAGCGTCGTAGCGAGAGATGACAGAGAGAGCGATCGGTGCAATTCACTCGGCCGCGGCTGGAAAATGTTAATCACCGGGCAGTGCAAACAGCGCGCGCGTGCTAAGCAAAGCCACGCGCGGTCACGTGCGGCTGTCATCACCGCGCAGTGAAAACACGAGCGGCGGTGTTGCCTTGCTGCCGCTCGGCGTTCGCATCGCGCCGTCTGCTCGCGGCTGTTGATTGAAGCTCTCGGGCTACACGGGATAATCGTTGCGGCGTAATCGCTTTCGCAGATTTCTGCCCCGAAACAATATTCTAGAAACGCTATTTCAGGAAAACGACCGGGAAGGGTGCTTTAGCCCCCAATGTGTTAATCTGACCACCGAAGTTTAATTGACGGGCACGGCTGACATCAGTGATGCGTGACATCTGAACCGGTCCTGGATGCCCCCTACTAAACCTTAAAGCGGCCTACGAAACCAAATGTTTAACCATATTGTTTTATTTTGATAGAAAATGTAATGAATAAACACGTACATTTACGTGGCAAAGATAAGCACAGTGTATATGCAAAGAGGCAAAGTCATGCCAATCGTTTTTTCATACTCCTGTGGATTTAATTCCTACTTTTCTGCTTCCAGCGGCAGAATTAGTAGGCATTCTAGTCAATGCCGCGCTAGGCTTTGCTCAAGCAACGAAACGCCGCCCAAGGGGTAAACGGTCGGGGGCTCTAGTACGGCTACGCAGACGCGGGATCCGAACAGTGCTTCCGAGCTTTTTCCTCTCCAACGTACGTTCACTGTACAACAAAATGGATGAACTTCAGCTACTGATGGTAAAAGACAAAGACTTTCTTTCAGCTTCTGCATTGTGCTTCACGGAAACATGGCTGTGTGATTTGATTCCGGACACTTCGCTACAACTAGCAGGATTCCATCTTGTAAGATCGGATCGTGACATAGCACTCTCCGGCAAGACGAAAGGCGGTATTTGTTTTTACATTAACAGTGGCTGGTGTGTAGATGTCACAGTGATTCTGCAACATTGTTCTCCACTCCTTGAATCAATTTTTATAACCTGTAAACCGTTTTACTCGCCTCGCGAGTTCGCGTCGCTCATTTTGGTCGGAGTTTATTTGCCGCCTTGTCCTCAGGTTAAAGAGGCCCAACGCATGCTCGCCGATCAGATTCTGAGTGTGGAGCGAGCAAATCCAGATTCGTTGGTTATCGTACTTGGCGACTTTAACAAAGGTAATCTCAGCCACGAACTCCCCAAATACATACAATTCATTAAATGCCCAACCAGAGAAGGGAACACTCTGGATCACTGCTACACTACAGTCAGTAGAGCCTACCACGCCGTCCCCCGAGCAGCACTAGGACACTCTGACCATGCCATGGTCCACCTGATTCCTGCATACAGGCAGAAACTAAAACTCTGTAAACCTGCTGTGAGGACATCTAAACAGTGGACCAGTGAGGCTGTGGAAGATTTGCGGGCGTGCTTAGACTGTACTGACTGGGATATGTTCACGACTGCTACCAATAGTCTGGATGAACTCACAGAGGCTGTGACGTCCTACATCAGCTTCTGTGAGGACTGCTGTATCCCAACACGTACCAGGGTGAACTTTAACAACAATAAGCCCTGGTTCTCAGCAAAGCTCAGAAGGTTGAGGTTGGAGAAGGAGGAAGCGTTTAGGAGTGGAGATAGAGACAGATTCAAGGAGTCGAAGAACAGGTTTAGCAAAGCGGTGAGAGAGGCTAAACGACTGTACTCAGAGAGACTAAAACACCAGTTCTCTACAAACGACGCTGCTTCTGTCTGGAGAGGGCTCAGGCAGATCACCAACTACAAACCCAGAGCCCCCCACACCACTAACGACTCCCGCCTAGCCAACGACCTGAACGAGTTCTACTGCAGATTTGAAAGACAATTGGACTGTCCTGAACCACCCCTTCCAACCCAAGAGGCCCCATCCCCCACCAATACTACAGAGACGACTATCTCCTTTCAGGAGGGAGAAGTTAATAGACTTTTCAAGAGGCAGAATCCACGCAAAGCAGCCGGGCCGGACTCTGTCTCTCCAGCCACCCTCAGGCACTGCGCTGACCAGCTGTCTCCGGTGTTCACCAACATCTTTAACACCTCCCTGGAGACATGCCATGTACCAGCCTGTCTCAAGTCCTCCACCATCATCCCTGTGCCCAAAAAGCTAAGGCCAACAGGACTAAATGATTACAGACCGGTCGCCCTTACATCTGTGGTAATGAAGTCTTTTGAGCGCCTGGTCCTGGCACACCTCAAAGCCATCACAGACCCTCTCCTGGACCCCCTTCAGTTTGCCTACAGAGCCAACAGGTCTGTGGACGATGCAGTTAACATGGCCCTCCACTTCACCCGACAGCATCTGGACGCCCCAGCATCCTACGCCAGGATCCTGTTTGTGGACTTCAGCTCTGCCTTCAACACCATCATCCCTGCCCTGCTTCAGGACAAGCTCTTCCAGCTGAACGTGCCATACACCACCTGTAAATGGATCACAGACTTCCTGTCTGACAGGAAGCAGTGCGTTAAGCTGGGAACACAAGTCTCTGGCTCCAGGTCCATCAGCACCGGAACTCCTCAGGGCTGCGTCCTTTCCCCTCTGCTCTTCTCCCTGTATACCAACAGCTGCACCTCCAATCATCTGTCCGTCAAACTATTGAAGTTTGCGGATGACACCACCCTCATTGGGCTGATCTCTGGTGGGGATGAGTCTGACTATAGGTGGGAAGCTGACAATCTGGTGACCTGGTGTAGCCAGAACAACTTAGAGCTAAATGCTCTAAAGACAGTTGAGATGGCTGTGGACTTCAGGAAGAATACAGCACCACTCACCCCCATCACCCTGTTAGACTCCCCAGTCAAAATTGTAGAGTCCTTCCGCTTCCTGGGCACTATTCTCTCCCGGGACCTCAAGTGGGAATTGAACATCAGCTCCCTCACCAAGAAAGCTCAACAGAGGATGTACTTTCTACGGCAGCTGAAGAAATTCAACCTGCCAAAGACAATGATGGTGCAATTCTATACAGCGATCATTGAATCCATCCTCACCTCCTCCATAACCGTCTGGTACGCTGCTGCCACTGCCAAGGACAAGAGCATACTGCAGCTTATCATCCACACTGCTGAGAAGGTAATTGCCTGCAATCTACCGACCCTCGAGGACCTGCACACGACAAGGTCTATGAGGCGAGCGAGGAAGATTATGGCCGATTTCTCCCACCCTGGACACTCTCTGTTTCAGCTACTCCCCTCCGGCAGAAGGCTTCGGTCCATCAGGACCAAAACCTCACGCCATAAAAACAGTTTCTTCCCATCTGCTGCTGGCCTGTTAAACAAGGCCAAGGGCTAACACTGTTTTTAACATTTGATCTACATAACGACACGTTGCTGATATTAACTATGTTTCCCTATTTGTATTTTTAAATTATATCTTAAAGCTATTTTATATTCGATATTTATTTAATTTTATATACTTCAGCCCCTTAGTGTTAGACTTTTAACCCTTATTATAGTAAGACTTGTTTAAAACTTATTTAAGATTTTAGATTCCTATATGTTGAATGTATGCACCATCCTGCCAAAGTAAATTCCGTGTCGGTGTGAACTTACATGGCGAATAAAACCCCTTTCTGATTCTGATATGATGAGAGAAATTAACACCGGAGATTAACTTTTTGATATATTTTTATTGCAATATTAGCCAAAACACTTTCAAATGGTATGTTTCGCACGATTTAATTATCAATAGAGAGTAGTGTTTGGGAAGTCAAGGCGTTATCACTGAAGTTGTTACTGAAGGCCTACGAAATAAGTGGATAGGGGCCTACATGAACCTTAATTCTGCCCCTTCAACCCGCACTGACCAGCGCGGTGAAATATGGTCAAATAAGCCTCACGACCCTTACGGCATGGGTAGGCCCTCATCCAGCAGTGGATTCACAAGGAGCTGAAAACTACACATTATTATGCAAATCGAATACATATGCGACAAAGATATATTTCTTGTTGATTTCAGTTTTCATTCAAAGATGGGTAATATTGACTGACCTGCGTTGATGCGTGCAAGTGGCCACGCACTTCATTGGCACGAGTCTGGTTGCAAAATTCAATAATTGTTTTGAGCGAGCGGTAAAACGTCCAGGAGCATTCGTCTTCCTTTATGAAGCCGCGCAAGCAATATCGCCAGCGCCCTGTCATGTTTTCAGAGCGACCCGGGATCAATTTATCAGCTCCCCCGACTGTTCTTTGACCCCGAACACAACGACTGCCGCTTTTGGGACGGAGCACCCCAGAGACGCGTTCCTCACGGGCGCCCATTGTTTACGTTCTGGCAAGTGAACAATGCCTGTCAGGTTAACTCATACGGGGGCTGAACGTACATTGGTTGCCCTTATCAGTTGTCATTGGGCGGCGCAGTGATAACACTCGAGCCTCACGGCAAGAAGTCTCTTGGGTTCGATTCCCGACTGTGGTGAATGAGCAATGCCCTGGCGGGAACAGCTGATTCCAGTCGGCTTTCCCCTCATGGTGCTCGGAGCTACTACAGCGGCCAATGGGGGCTCTGGATGGGTGCGAGGGGCTGGTAACCACTCCAACCTCAACTAAATGACCACTAGTCCATGTTTTGGATATCAAATTAAGCTTGTGCTGGAGGCCCTGGGGGACAGGCGTCTATGATGTCTCCTGGCTAAACCACATTTGGCGATGCCATGAGACTGAATCTTTACCCTCGGGGTTCCTCCAGAAACGGCAAAAAACCACTGCGAGTGGCCATGTGGAATGTCCAAATACTCACCGCGGAGGAGAGGCTGCCACTCCTTTGTCGGGAGCTGGCATGGACTGGTTCTGGCTTCAGTCACCATGAGTGGTGGACAATCCTCTACTCGGCGCAGGAAACTGCAAACAACAGAGAGTGGCTTTTCTTTTGAACAAAAGAATGAAGGGGCATGGGAGTATGACAGTGAGGTGTGAACTGGACTTCCATAGTTAACTGGACTTCAATTGTAAACTGGACTTCCATGGTAAACTGGACTTCCATAGTTAACTGGACTTCCATTGTGAACTGGACTTCCATTGTGAACTGGACTTCCATAGTGAACTGGACTTCCATAGTTAACTGGACTTCCATGGTAAACTGGACTTCCATTGTGAGCTGGACTTCCATTGTGAACTGGACTTCCATTGTGAACTGGGCTGTCATAGTTAACTGGACTTCCATGGTACACTGGACTTCCATTGTGAACTGGACTTCCAATGTGAACTGGACTTGTGAGCTGGACTTCCATGATAAACTGGACTTCCATAGTTAACTGGACTTCAATTGAAAACTGGACTTCCATGGTAAACTGGACTTCCATAGTTAACTGGATTTCCATGGTAAACTGGACTTCCATGGCAAACTGGACTTCCATTGTGAACTGGACTTCAATTGAAAACTGGACTTCCATGGTAAACTGGACTTCCATAGTTAACTGGATTTCCATGGTAAACTGGACTTCCATGGCAAACTGGACTTCCATTGTGAACTGGACTTCCATGGTAAACTGGGCTTCCATAGTGAACTGGACTTCTATTATAAAGTGGACTTACCATAGTGAACTGGACTTCCTTGGTCAGGGGTCGGAAACCAAAATAACAAGAAAATACATTTTTTTCGAATTTCAAGAGCTGCACTGAAGTCCTTAAAGAGCCGCATTCGGCTTGCCGAGCACTGATCTATATTATTCCCACGTGTGGCAACTTCCCAACCGTAGAGCTTGCGTTCAGATTGGTGGATGCACATTTCATTGTTCTAAAGATAAGTTCGCCGGTGGACCCGAGTGTTGGCCACACACACAGTGATGGACCCACGTTTCTTGAAGAAGCCTTCACGGGCTTCTTCGAGGGACGCTTCCCTTTGACTCTCAAACTCCCAACTCCAAACCTGTACACAAGAAGCGTCACGCGAGGCCTCTCAGTCCAAGGAATGCATGCAGCCGTCCGCCAATGGTACATAACACCTTAAAGCAGTGGTCCTTAACCTGGGGTACACGCACCCACTAGGGGTGCGAGATGCCCTTTGTGGGGGTGCGAGACGTGGCCAGATTTTTTTAGAAGGTAAATAATCGAAAACACAAATTAAATTGTTTCATTAAACCTATGTATTTATTAAGATTGCACTTTTTTACGTTTGAGAACCGAAGGGGTGCAATGTTGCGGTAAAGGTGAAGAACCACTGCTCTAAACTGAGACCGTGAGATGCGCGTTCAGCAGGGCTGCTTTTCTTTGTTTTGTTGTCCTTCCCCCCACACCTCCGATGAGCACGGTTGCCTTACGTACGGTGCTCAAGAAGTTCAACATACGGGACGTACATACAGGGCCCCATTTAGCCCGGGGCACGGCCCCGCAGCGATGTCAGGAGGGGCTGCAGCGGCTCCGTCTCCCTCGAGGGAATGCGTCTCCGCCAACCACAGACAAGCGCGGGTGATTGCGGACTGCTGGGACACATTTTACGTCTGCATTAAATTGAAACTTTTTGAACATTTGACCAACGAGTATTACTGGTGATATGAACAATCCCGGACGTGATCAATCCGCTGCTTGATGAACGCCCTCCGCCGAGTTCTTGTCGGTTGCCAACGTCTCTCGGATCCGTCCATAGAACGATCACCCAAACCCAAGCGCTCCACGGCGCGTGGCAGTCGGCCACCCGCCAACGGGAGGCGGGACCGGGTGCATCCGGGGCGGAGCGAGGCCCCCGGGGTTGTCGGTAGCGGCGAAGGCAACGGCGTTCTCGCCGTTCGCCCTCACTGCAGCGCTCGCCGTGTCGCTGTCCCCAGCATGGCTCTGCTCGTGGCCTGGAGCCTCTTTCTGACTCTGCTCTTCACCGCGTGGCTTTTCGGAGGTCGGCGCCGGTAAGAAGCGGTTCCCACTCCAACACTCTGGCCAGGGCAACATTTTAAAATTAATTATAATTATGATCTAGATTAGTAAAGACCTGAATCTGTATGTCTCAAAGACCCTCTAGGGTACTTCTCGACAAGGTAGAAAGCTGAAATTTGGTACATGGGTAGCTTTTAGAAGACAAACGGGGAAAATCAGAAAATCTGAGATATTTTATTATAAGGTCCCCAAATCTCGATTTTAAGTGCCCCATAAACATGCTTGTGCGTGAAGTAATTCAGAAACCGTTCAAAGTATAAGATTGCGAGTTTTTTCGTTTGATAGAGCGTTAAACGGCAAGTAAAATTAAAGCCAGAACCATTGTTCTATCTGTAATTGTTTTGAGACATTTCGGATTCTAGCGGGTTTTAAGGAAAGCAAATCCGCATTTTATGATGTTCAAATGTGAATAGTTTGAATGTCAAACGAGAGATTCCCCTCAGAATATTAAGTTCATTCATTTCTAATAAAAAAGAGAACGGAATCTTTAAATTGAGCGGTTTCAACAATTTGTGTTTTTGCGGAAAAAATAGCAAATGTTTGGAGTAGTTGCTAGTGTCTGAAGATACAAATTGTAAAAAAATTCATATCAGGTTCATGTTTATATATTTTTTAACTTTTGCCTGGTGAAGACAGATTTTATGAACTCGTAAATGATAAGAATGTATTTGAATGCAACGGCATTCTGTTTGGCACTCCCTGCCGAATCCAATCCCACTCCGCCCTCTCGCGTGAACCCTTTCAACTCGGTTCAAGTCGCGCTCTTTACGATGCACTACGGCGGTGACAGAGAGTGCTGGTTTGTTGCTGACCGCTTCACGTTTTTGGGCATCTTCGGTTTCTTGTGTTGAGGAGCAACTGTGTTAAGAAATACAACTCACACATACACCTTGTGCCCCATGTTATATGAGGTGACATTGGGCAACAACCGCCATTCGCAACTAAGTGGCGGTGACGTCCCCACGGCGCTTGTGCCAGGCTATGTGCACGTTAAGGCCACGTGAAGTGTCGAACACCCACTGGCAGGAGGTCACGGGGCAGACCCAGCAGGTGCCATGGGTCGACTGAGATAAGTGGGCGATGCACCACCTGTGCCCCCTACTGTGCCAACTTTCTCTGTTTTATGCACCCAGCCCTCCGCTCGCTGTTGTGAGCGTCGATCCTCTGCCCTCCGTTGTTGTTGGAGGGCGGCTGCCTCCTACTGCCCAGTCGCAGCAGCGTCCTTCACGAGCCTCCTTCCACAGGAGGCTGGTGGTCACAGACACAGAGACGCACATACGGTTACCGGACTATCAGATGCACCCCCCCCCCCCTCGGCAACCTTTGCTTTAAATACAAAAAGTGAATTAAGAGCGTGTTAAAATCCGCTAAATGTAGGTGACAATGCGGTTCTAATCTAAATCGTATAAAACCGTATCTTGGGAAGTGTTCCCGAGATACACGGAGCCCACTTGCAACACGCTGCGCGAACTGGCTGTGGGCTGTGGTTTTGCGGGCGGGCGGCGGCGTTGACGAAATATTCCGGAGCCTGGGTTCGAGGTCCCCCTACTGGCAGTGATGAGTTGTTGATGTCCACCGCTGGTGACCGCCACTAGCTAAAGCCCCCCCCCCGCGTCCACATCACCGTTTGCTTCCAGCTCTGACGAATTGATCCGAGCGGGTTGACCGTCTCCGTGCTGCCCACCTGGCGTGGAGGGGTGTGGGCGGGGAGCTGTCCCTCTCCAATGGCTCTCAGCAGCAATTCTGTGATGTGCGCTTTCACGGGTTCGTTCTCCAACCAGAGGGGAGGGTGTGGAGGGGGGTTCGTGCTGCCGAGGGGGATCGTGCCTCGGTTTGTGGCACGGGGAGGGCTCCGGTGGCAGGATGTGACCAGGCGGGCATTAACTTCGCAACGGGTCAACGCTGCTTCCCCATTGCGACAGGGACCACTCACCGGACACCACTCACCAGACACCACTCACCACATACTCACCAGACACCACTCACCAGACACTCACCACTCACCAGACACTCACCACTCACAAGACACCACTCACCAGACACTCACCACTCACCAGAAACCACTCACCACATACTCACCAGACACCACTCACCAGACACTCACCACTCACCAGACACTCACCACTCACCAGACACTCACCACTCACAAGACACCACTCACCAGACACTCACCACTCACAAGACACCACTCACCAGACACTCACCACTCACAAGACACCACTCACCACATACTCACCAGACACCACTCACCAGACACTCACCACTCACCAGACACTCACCACTCACAAGACACCACTCACCGGACACCGCTCACCAGACACTCACCAGACACTCACCAGACACCACTCACCAGACACTCACCACTCACAAGACACCACTCACAAGACACCACTCACCAGACACTCACCACTCACAAGACACCACTCACCGGACACCGCTCACCAGACACTCACCAGACACTCACCAGACACCACTCACCAGACACTCACCACTCACAAGACACCACTCACCGGACACCGCTCACCAGGCACTCACCAGACACTCACCAGACACCACTCACCAGACACTCACCAGACACTCACCAGACACCACTCACCAGACACTCACCACTCACAAGACACCACTCACCAGACATTCACCAGACAGCACTCACCAGACACTCACCACTCACCAGACACTCACCAGACACCACTCACCAGACACCACTCACCAGACACTCACCACTCACAAGACACCACTCACCGGACACCGCTCACCAGACACTCACCAGACACTCACCAGACACCACTCACCAGACACTCACCAGACACCACTCACCAGACACCACTCACCAGACACTCACCACTCACAAGACACCACTCACCACTCACCAGACACTCACCAGACACCACTCACCAGACACTCATCACTCACAAGACACCACTCACCAGACACTCACCACTCACAAGACACCACTCACCAGACACCACTCACCAGAGATTCACCATTCAGAAGACACTCACCACTCACAAGACACCACTCACCAGACACCACTCACCAGAGATTCACCATTCACAAGATACCGCTCAACAAAAAAACTCACCACTTACAAGACACCAGGAACTCACGACTCACCACACGCCTGATAACACTCACCAGACACTTACTACTCACCAAGCACTACTCACCAGGTACTTACTCGTCACCAGTTACCGCTCACTAGGCACTCACCACTCACCGGGAATTCACTACTCACCACTCACCAGAACTTTACTATTCATCACTCACTACTCACCAGGCACTCACCACTCACTGATGACTCACAAGACATTCACCACTCACCTGGCATCACTCACCAGACCCTCATTACTCACCACTCACTACTCACCAGGCACTCACCACTCACTGATCACTCAAAAGACATTCACCACTCACCTGGCATCACTCACCAGACCCTCATTACTCACCACTCAATACTCACCAGTCACTCACCACTCACAGATACTACTTACCAGGCACTCACTACTCACCAGACACTCACCACTCACCCGACACCCACTCACCAGACCCTCACTACTCATCACTCACGACTCACCAATCATCAGAAACTACTCACCACTCACCCGACACCCACTCACCAGACCCTTACTACACATCACTCAATACTCACCAGTCACTCACCACTCATCAGATGCTACTTACCAGGCACTCACCACTCACCTGACATCACCTCACCCGACCCTCACTACACATCACTCACTACTCACCAATCATCAGACACTACTCACCACTGACCCACTCACCAGACCCTCACACTGAGCGTGAGAGGCAATGGTCACAACACACGGGACCCCCTTTAGCCACCACACTCTCTGTCACTTCTACATTTCTGCAGCACTCGCAGTCAACCCAGTGCCAGTTGAAGCTCGTGCGGAGCCTGGAGCAAATGATGTTATAAAGAGGCCCTAAATAAAAAAAAGAAAACACGTAAATATTAAAACAATTTTTTTTACTTGCACAGTAAAATAATTTCATTTTCTTTATTTTCTATACAGCCAGATAATACGACAAATCGCTAACCTTAAACACCCAGTCGTTCATAAAAGTTTAAGGAGCCGTACATAAATGACGTCACGCGATTTTGGACGATTTTTGACCCCCCTCCCCTCGTCACACGGCGTCACAAAAAGTCAACCCCCCCCTCCTCAAATATGACGTCACAAAGCTCTGCCCCCTACACGTGTAGCTACTACTACACGTGTAGTAGCTGCTACACGTGTAGCTACTACACGTGTAGTTACTACTACACGTGTAGTTACTACTACACGTGTAGTAGTAGCTGCTACACGTGTAGCTACTACTACACGTGTAGCTACTACTACACCGTGTAGCTACTGGGATAATCCGGCACTGACTCAACCCAATGTCAAGTTTGCCGTCACTTTTTGTGTTTTACTCTCATCGGCTTTCACAGTAATTGGTCCGCGTGAACTTTCATTCCAAGAGACGTACATTCTTAACGATTGCGTGCAATGTTTTCAATTTACTCGTGGAATGCGGTTGTTTCCAACACATTTCTAATTGCTCCATCGCTCAGCAGTACTCTATAATATAATACAGGGTGCTTCAACAAAAATGATAACACTTCTGAGAATTTGCAACAATACCACAAGCAATGTACTGCTGCCTCCGGGCTCTGGGGACCACCTGGAGAAGATTCCAGGCCACGTGTTGACAACGATGGCGAACAAGTGGAGACTCTTTGACTTTTTGAAGCTATTAACATTACATTTGTTATCATGTTCCAGCGTATTATCCCTTTTTACATTAAAAACGAAAGTCCCATTTCAGTGTTAACATTTTTTAAGCACCCTGTATAAGTTCAGCATATATACTTACATACGTGTACATCTGTATGTATAGTTTATCTTTAAGATACAGCAAGTCTGTATATGAGCCTGCCGCGGTGGCTATAATATGTTAACTACCTCGC